AAGGGCACCCTCCTTGAACCCCACCCTAGAGGCACCCTCCTTGAAGCCTTTACCAGCCCCCCAGAGGCACCCCCCCTTTAAACCCTCCCCCACCCCAGAGGCACCCTCCTTGAAGCCTCACCACCTCAGAGGCACCCTCCTTTAAGCCCCTTTACCAGCCTCGAGGCACCCCCCCCTTGAACCCCTTACCGCCTCAGAGGCACCCCCTTGAAACCTCACCACCTCAGAGGGACCCTCCTTTAAGCCTCACCGCCTCAGAGGGACCCCCCTTGAAGCCTTCACCACCCAGAGGCACCCTCCTGAAGTTCACCAGCCTCAGAGGCACCCCCTTAAGCCTTCACCAGCCCAGGGACCCCCCCTGAAGCCTCACCAGCCCAAGGCACCCTCCTTAAAACCCCCCCCCCACCTCAGAGGCACCCTCCTTGAAGCCCCACCACCTCAGAGCACCCTCCCTTGAAACCCTACCACCCGAGGGACCCTCCTTGAAACCCTCACCAAACCCCAAGGCACCCTCCTTGAAGCCTTCACCAGCCTCAAGGACCCTCCTTGAAAAATCACCACCCGAGGGACCCCCCCTTGAAACCCTCACCAGCCCAAGGCACCCCCTTGAAGCCTTTACCAGCCTGAGGCACCCCCCTTGAAACCCTCCCCCTCAGAGGCACCCTCCTTGAAGCCCTCACCAGCCCCGAGGGCCCCCCCTTTAAGCCCACCACCCAGAGGCACCTCTTGAAGCCCCACCAGCCCAAGGACCCTCCTTTAAACCCCCCCCAACCCAGGGCACCCCCTTGAACCCTACCAGCCTCAGGGCACCCTCCTTGAAGCCCCCACCAGCCTCAGAGGGACCCATTGAAGCCCTCACCAGCCTCAAGGACCCTCCAAGCCCTCACCCCCCCAGAGGCACCCTCCTTGAACCTCACCCGCCTCAGACACCCCCCTTGAACCCTCACCACCTCAGAGGGACCCTCCCTTAACCCTCACCAGCCCCAGAGGGCCCCCCCTTAAGCCTTTACCCCTCAGGCACCCCCTTTAAGCCCCCACCACCCCAAGGGACCTCCCTTTAAGCCCTCCCACCTCAAGGCACCCCCCTTGAAGCCCCACCCCCCAAGGGGACCCCCTTGGAAACCCTCACCACCTCAGAGGCACCCCCCTTGAAACCTCACCACCTCAAGGCACCCTCCTTTTAAACCCCTCCACCCCAAGGGGACCCCCCCTTTAACCCTTCCCCGCCTCAGAACCCCCCTTGAAACCCCCCCCCCCCCCCCCCTTCCCCTTGAATTTTTAACCCCCCCCCCCCCCCCCCCCCCCCCCCCCCCCCTCCCCTCACCCCCTCGAGGGACCCTCCTTTAAACCCTTTCCCCCTCGAGGCACCCTCCTTTTAAGCCCCCCCCACCCAGAGGCACCCTTTTTTGAACCTTTCCCCCCTAAGGCCCCTCCTTTAAGCCTCACCCCCAGACACCCTCCTTGAAGCCCCACCAGCCCAAGGCACCCCCTTGAAACCCCCACCCCTCCGAGGGACCCTCCTTGAACCCCCCGCCCCAGAATCAACCCCTCACCAATCAAGGATTTAATCCCCCTCAAGGAAATCCTTAAAACCCCGGGGGACCCCCCTTGAAACCCCACCCCCCAAGGATCCTTTTATTCCCACCCGAGGACCCCCCGAAAACCCTCCCCCTCCCCCTCCCTTAAACCCCACCGTAAGGCACCCCCTTAAATTAATAACACCCCTTTTAAAAATTCAAAGCCTAAACACCTCCTTAACCCAAAAGGCCCCCCCAAGCCCCCAAACCCCCAAGGATTTAAGAATCAGAACCCCCTTTTCCCCCCCAACCTCAAGGAAACCCCCCTTTGAAAACCTTAACCCCAGGGCATCCTTTTAAACTTACCCGCCTAAGGATTTTAAGAAACCAGCCCGGGGCCCTTTTTGAATTTTCAACCCCCTGGGAATTTAACCTCACCCGAAGAATTTTTTAACCTTCCCCGCCTCAGAGGATCCTTAAGCCAATTTAACCTCGGGATCCTTGGTGTAAATTAAGTTTTTAGGGTCCTTAACCTAAGCCCCAGACATCTTTAACCCTTTTCCCCCCTGGATTTTAACCTAAGGGTTTTTGGCCTTTGTCAAATTTTAACCCTAAACCCAAACCCCCTTTGGGGAAGTTTTCCATCAAGGGTTTCCTTTAAACTCAAGATTTTGGCCCTTCAGTAACACCCTTTGAATCAAGCCCCCGACCCCTTTGAAACCAAATAAACCTTTGAAATTTTTAAGGACCCTTTTGAACCTTAAAACCCCAAAAACACCCCCCCTTTAAGTTTTAACCCAAGGGCCCCTTTGAACCCCCAGCCCCGGGACCCCCCCAAGCCTCACCACCTCAGGAATTTGGTCCCAAAGGGTTTGGAAGTAAATGGGACCCCCCTTAAAAGTTTTACCGCCCCAAGGGCCCCCCTTTGGGTACCCCCTGAATCCTGGCCCCCCCAACCTAGGGATTTGAAGCCCCCCAGCCCCAAGCAAATCCCAAAAACCCCACCAGCCCCGGGCCCCCCCTTAAGTTAAAACCCAACACCCCCCAGTCAACCCAGAGGAACCCTTTGACCTCACCGCCCCGGACCCCCCTTTAATACCCGCCCCGAGCCCCCTTTGGTCAATAGAATTTGAAATTAACCTAAAAACCCCCCTTTTAAGCCTTTTCTAACACCCCCTTTAACCCTTACCCCTCAAAGGGGCCCCCTTGAAGTAGCCCCAAGGGCCTTAATAACCCCCAAATTTTTAAGCCCTACCGCCTAAGGACCCCCATTCACCCCTCAGAAACCCCCCCCTTTCCCTTACCGGGATTTGTTTTCCCCGTCAAGGAATCCCTTTTGCCCCCCCCGTAAAAGGACCCTTTAATCAACCCCGAGCCCCCTTGAAGCCCCCCCCCAAACCCAGGATCCGAAAAACCTTTATCAAGGACCCCCCCTTGAACCCTTTTCCCCCCCTCAAATTTAAGCCTTACCATCAACACCCCCCTTGGCCCCGTAGAAACCCCAACCACAAAAATTTAAAACCCCGGGAATTTTTTTTAAGTTTATTTTTCCTAAGGTTTTAATCCCCTTCCCCCCCCTTCCCCCAAAACCAGAGGCACCCCGAAAATTCGTTTTTCTTTAAACATTTTTTCCGGGCTTGGACATGGCCCGGGCCTCACACGACTCAGGACCTGGGGCCCATGGGGTTTAGGTGTTGAGTGGGACTTGCACATGAGTAAATAGAATTATCAAAGCTTATTGCTTGGGTAGCATTGAAAATTGGGCTGGGCAAATATTCTGTTAGTGGGATGGATTGTGAAGGACCTGCATAGTATGGGCCAACAGGCCAGCTGCAGTGTTCCTCCTCTCTAATGTTTTATGATCCCCAGAACACCTTCCAAGTCTACTCCAGGTATATTGTTAACCCTGGTGTGACTACGACAACACGAGGTTCACCTTGTAATTAGTCTGCATGAGCCCCAGTTTGTCAATTTTAGTAAATAAATAATGATATTTATTTTCATTAAATAACTTTAGAATGCTTTTTTTCTGAACAGCTTTAAAATAATAACATTGATGCATTCGATACAAAAATGACACCTTGTAAGTTTAGACTGCATAGGTGCCAATTTAAAATTTTGCTGAAATTGTTGAAAATGCACAAATAACCCGCACATAAGAGAAAAAGCTTATGACAACATCGTCATGAGCTTCTCTTTCCTATATCCGGGTTATTTGTGTATTGTTCCAGTCATGGTATTATGACTTTTTGTTCTTCATTGTTTAAAATTGGTATCATTGGATTTAAATCAGTTACTGGGGAATGCATTTTCTGATAGGCTGCAAACAGTAAGTGTCGGCATGCTTCATCAAAGGAAAGCTTGCTTTTGACTTTGAGCTATTCAAATTTAATTTGCCAATTCTTCTTTCAACAAACTGGCCATGTCCGGTTGAGGCAGGATGACACAAAAAGAAAAACAAAAATTTCTCTCTTTAGCTTTAGTAATGTATACAGAAGGGGGTTACTAGCCCCTTGCTCCCTGCATTTTAGTCGCCTCTTATGACACACATGGCTACGGAGGAAGAATTCTGTTCTACTTCCCCATAGAGATCTGAGGCTGAGTGGTTACAGTGTTGGTGCTGTTATTATTATAATCATAACTAGTTAGTGCTGCTAGATGAATGAACCATGTTGTATAACTTCTAGGTAGTGTATCTGTTTGCTGCTATGGGAATAGCTGCATTATCAAGGCATTGGGATTTTATTTTTATTTTTTTTTAATCAGGGAGAAATGCTAAACCTGTAGAAGCTGTATAGTGCTGGGGAACAAGAAGCATTCAAGTTCAGTCCAAGGAACAGGACAAGAACTACAATTCCTTAATGCAAAAGCCCCTTTCCCTTCAGGGGAAGATGTTAGGAAACTTGCCTGTCTGTCTCCCTTATTCATCTCGCCTGTTCATCCTCGTTACTTAGTTCCACATTATTATTATTATTATTATAATCAAGGGGGAAGTGCTAAACCCGGAGGATTATACAGCGCCTGGGGGGGGGGATGTGGAAGGCATTCAGGCTTAATTTGGGGAACTGGAGCACAGATCCAATTCCCTAAATCAAGAGCCCCTCACCAACATCAAGGAACCTTCCTTGAGGGGTCTTATTTCCACAAAAGAATCCACTTTATTTTACATTTCTATCCAAATAGTATCACTCCCATTTTCCCAAGATGCTGAGACAGTGTGTTTGTTGACCAGGAAACAGGAATGTCTCTTGATTATTATTATGTTCATGGGAGAGCTCTAAACCTGTAGGAGGTGTGCAGCACCTGAAGAATCAGATTTCATGGTTGTCTCCTGATATGATATATTAGTAGTTACATTTAAATGCATCACATCGTACCTGTTAAAATATTTATGTTAGAAAACAGCAACATAATTTTATCTAGAGTATTTGCTCTGTGTATTTTGGGACGTGTGGTAAGGAAAATTCTTTATCAGACTCAAAACTCAAACCTCTTTTATTTTTTTAATTAAATGAACAATGTCTCAGGAATATATTAATACATGTACACGTACATGTATTAGTTAACATGAAGTTTGTCATAAGATTTATTACACAGCATTGGAGATTTATCCAACTAAATGAATGTATGTATTGTATTTATTTCTTTTTTTTTTTTTACCACAACGACCATTTCTCAGCAAGGCAGGGTAAGTAAGTTTATTTAGGCACAAGTACATATAAGTACAATTATCATACATAGTGTAAATTACCCAGGATAACCCCCAAAAAAGTTAGACAAAGTGTCTTATTACCACTGGGGTCCTTCTAACCTAAAGAAAGAAACACATTGTCCATTGTTCTTTCATGAGCTGTCTTGACATTTTGCTGTGCTTTCTAAATTATACTTGTAATAATTACGAGTTTTGAGCTTCACTGTTGAGTGATAGAAAATGAAAGTAGATTATTTTAAATCAGTTACAATTATTACAAATAAATGACAATTAACAAACTTTGCCATTTCTGTAGGCAGCAACTCATTGCACAGGGCCAGGAGCAAAGATTTGATCCCAGTAACCACAAATAGGTAAGTACATTTAGTATACAGTAAACCCTGAATATAATGAACTGCTGAAATACAGTAACAGAAAAAAAAATCAGCTGAATAAGTTGTACTTTAATTAATTTATTTTCAATGTTAATTGAAGTACATCTATAAATTGTGTATATTACTAAAGTATACAGTACAGCACTATAGTGCTGTACTGTATACTTAATATAGTGTAGTATAGTGTATACTGTATACTATACTGTTCTGTAATCTACACGTTTTATATTAAACTGGAGATCACTTTGTGGTGAAGACAGCATGTTAATATTATGCTCCTGGTAACAAGAAATGTGATTCAATAGACTATAAAGTTTCTCAGTAGCCCACATGTATACAGCAAAGCTTGTGATGACTTTAGGTTGTTAGCTCAATATTTTTGTTTTACTGCATAGGCAGCTTCCCACCAAAATAAAGTGACCCAGAGAAAGGAACATATTCACCATCATTCATTCAATAGCTGTCTTGCCAGAAGTGACAGAACATCACATTCAAATGGCCCATCAGATGGCAACATCCCCATCCATCCTTCTGAGCACAGGCACTGTACTTCCCACTTCCACAGCTCAAGTCATCAGCAAGCACACGATTGGAAGGACAATACTATAAAATAAACACAATCCGTATGGCCTTCATATCTAACTCTTAACAGCAGTGTCTGTAATATATTACCTGCCTAGCATGGATCAGTAAGCCTGCTGCAGTGCTCCTGCTTTCTTATGTTCTTAACAGGTCCTCAAATTATGATTAGTGGTCCTCGTGTTTCCAGTGAGTTATTGTACAGAAAATAATAGTACAAAAGATGGTTATGTTTCATACAGATTTGTACTACAACCCAGTATTGTAAATCTTTAATTGGTACCAAAGTGCCTTATAATTTCATGTGTTTGCTAATTGAAGACTTTACGTATTATCTAGGAGTTCAGTGTAATATCACAGTTTCAGCAGAATACATTATGGGAGTCTTTGAAAGTCTGCTAGCAATACACTTGGAAGCTTATTAAATAATAAGTTTATATATTCACTATCAATTATTTGCTAGAGGAATACAAGTTATATTACAAATTATGTACATTCCATATTTCATTAACAACCCAGAACATACTATTGCAGTAAGAAAGGTTAAAGTGTAATGTTACTAGCATCCAGATCATCTTGCTCCAGATGATGTTGAAATGTGGATCAGAGCTCCGCATCCTCATCAAGGAGAGGAGAATTGGATCTTTGTACTAGTCTGATCCGTTCTCCTTCACATACTGCCTCCAGGCCAAGATCCTGCAATCCTGGATTTTCTGCAACGCCCTCTAATTTTAAACCTTTAACCAAGAGCTGATTCTCTAGATTACCCTCCAGAAGATTACGTACAGCAAAGATTGAAACCTCCTTTATTAATGGATTCCTTGCATCAAACTGCGAACTTTCCAACAATAGAAGTATACCACCAATCTCTCGGACCTAAAAATATACAAATACGTACTGTAAAGCATATATGTATGAATTAGATTATATATATCATACAGTTAATAAATGATTTTTAAAGTTTAATATGTTGCTTACATCATGGTGTAAATTTTGCTGACAAAAACAAGACTTAATTTGGATTATAAATCCTGGAGGGTTAATTGCCCAGAATAACCCAGAAGTGTGATTTATTTCCACTAGGGTCCTCTCATGGTCTTCCAGCAACATATAGACAAAGACAAAGATTTATTTCAGCATGATATAATGTTTGTACAGAGATGGGTGACATTTGGTTGTGCATACAGAAAGCCCATACGAAGTGATGCAGAGCATTTCTGGCACAATAGTTGACTAACTACTAGGTAATTATTTATTGCTAGGAAAGAAGGTTAGCAGATGTTAGGAGATTTGCCCATATGTTTCACCCTGCTCATGAGTAAGTGCAGTCTCTTCATACAATCTTACCTGATCTTGATTATCTTTGTGCCTGTATACCAGGCTGGCAATGAGTCTGATGAGGTCACACTTGAAGCCAAAAGCTGGATGATTTTCAGCATTTGCCATCTGTTGCTCATCACTGAGATCAGAGAACCTGTTCAGAGGCGTGAATGCATTTCCTCCCATCTTTCCAATGTCGGTTATACACTGTAACAAATCTGAAGGGAAAAAAAATTACCACATCAACCACTTCCCATCAAGAAGGAAATACATTCACCATCACTGTCTCAACACAGGAGATGTCTTGCCAGAAGTATGCAGATTTTTTTTTTTTTTTTTCAACAAGTCGGCCATCTCCCACCGAGGCAGGGTGACCCAAAAAAGAAAGAAAATCCCCAAAAAGAAAATGCTTTCATCATCATTCAACACTTTTACCACACTCACACACAATCACTGTTTTTGCAGAGGTGCTCAGAATACAACAGTTTAGAAGCATATACATATAAAGATACACAACATATCCCTCCAAACTGCCAATATCCCAAACCACTCCTTTAAAGTGCAGGCATTGTACTTCCCATTTCCAGGACTCAAGTCTGACTATATGAAAATAAGTATGCAGATATCACATTAGAAATGACCCCTCTTAACTATGCATCCTCGCTGCATATAAAAATATTAAAGTAAATCACTAATTCTCTAGTATAATTGGTTATTTAGCTTTCAGCATTATCTGGTGGTCCTGCTCATTTGGAAAAAGGAATGTGAAAAGCAAAGAGACTATAAAAGAAACACGATCATCAGGTGTTATTGAAAATATGTACACCTTCTGCCCTGAAGAGTCTGAATAATCAGTGATCCACTATATGTCTGATATGAAAAATGAAGCCCTTTGCAACTGAATTTATCATTTTTTATTAATTTTATTAATATTATTTTTTCCTAGGTAGTAGGTTGGTAGACAGCAACCGCCCAGGGAGGTACTACCTTCCTGCCAAGTGAGTGTAAAACTGAAGCCTGTAATTGTTTTACATGATGGTAGGATTGCTGGTGTCTTTTTTTTTTGTCTCATACACATGCAAGATTTCAGGTACGTCTTGCTACTTCTTACCTGGAGTTTACCTGGAGAGAGTTCTGGGGGTCAACGCCCCTGCGGCCCTGTCTGTGACCAGGTCTCCTGGTGGATCAGAGCCTGATCAACCAGGCTGTTACTGCTGGCTGCACGCAAACCAACGTATGAGCCACAGCCCGGCTGGTCAGGTACCGACTTTAGGTGCTTGTCCAGTGCCAGCTTGAAGACTGCCAGGGGTCTATTGGTAATCCCCCTTATGTATGCTGGGAGGCAGTTGAACAGTCTCGAGCCCCTGACACTTATTGTATGGTCTCTTAACGTGCTAGTGACACCCCTGCTTTTCATTGGGGGGATGTTGCATCGTCTGCCAAGTCTTTTGCTTTTGTCGAGAGTGATTTTCGTGTGCAAGTTCGGTACTAGTCCCTCAAGGATTTTCCAGGTGTATATAATCATGTATCTCTCCCGCCTGCATTCCAGGGAATACAGGTTCAGGAACTTCAAGCGCTCCCAGTAATTGAGGTCTTTTATCTCCGTTATGCGCGCCGTGAAGGTTCTGTGTACATTTTCTAGGTCAGCAATTTCACCTGCCTTGAAAGGTGCTGTTAGTGTACAGCAATATTCCAGCCTAGATAGAACAAGTGACCTGAAGAGTGTCATCATAGGCTTGGCATCCCTAGTTTTGAAGGTTCTCATTCTACTTACACTTAGATCACACTACACATACATGTACAAGCATATATATAGACACCCCTTTGGGTTTTCTTCTATTTTCTTTCTAGTTCTTGTTCTTGTTTATTTCCTCTTACCTCCATGGGAAAGTGGAACAGAATTCTTCCTCCATAAGCCATGCGTGTTGTAAGAGGCGACAAAAATGCCAGGACCAAGGGGCTAGTAACCCCTTCTCCTGTATATATTACTAAATGTAAAAGGAGAAACTTTCGTTTTTCCTTTTGGGCCACCCCGCCTCGGTGGGATACAGCCGGTGTGTTGAAAGAAAGAAAGAATATTATTTTTTATTATTTTATATTTCTACCCAGGAGAAACAGAGAAACAACAACAACAAATTTAAGAACAAAAAAGTTCATTGCTGATTTAAGATGTATAGCTTAAAGTATGTTTTAAAAATAATGTTCATTATACGTATTTTTGTCTCCGATAGTAGTATATACTGCATATACGTAATTATATAAAAGTAAAATATATGGCCTTGAAAGAGATCTTGTTCTGGGAGTTGTTTGAATATATTCAGTGTAATACAGATAAAGAAAAAATGATTGTAGAGGTTATGAAGGAAAGAATATTAAGTGCATTGTCATTAAATAGAACAGTGTTAGTTTATACTTTAATATGGTTTAAGCTAGTTTCAGCAGTGTAATGTAGCATAGGTATCCCTGGCTTTATGCAGTAGATGTGTTTATGTCCCATGGCAGGTATACTAAGCTCAATCACGCCATCACTACTTAATTTCACGTTGTAAGAATGTATATCAAACATGTGGGATTACCTGTATAAATGGGATATTGCAAATTTACATAAAACAAGGGAAACTTGTATAGCCAAGTCAACACTTTGTTTGTTAATGCAATTCTATGACCCTGCAAAATCAGAGGATAACTGGGTCTAATCAGAGACTGGATGGATGAGATTTGGGCATGGGAAATCCATTGAGCTTATTTTCAACAAAATCATATACGTATGTACGTACTACAGTAGTATTTAGTTTTCAATTTAAGGGTCATGTACCAAGTCAAAATTAGGCACTATAAAAAATAATGGAAATTATTTTCAGGATGCCCTTTATTAAAAAAGATGAATAACTGAAGCTCTCGAATATATTGGGAACTTGAAGGAATATCTGTTTTTATACTCGTGCATAAATATACAAGAAGCAGCTTCTATGTCAGTTATCTTGTGGCACTGAACTAAAACAACTCAAGTGATCTGAGGATGATATAACCTAACCCTCAAAGCCAAAAAAAAAAAGAACATATGAATAAAGGAGCACTATAGCTGATCTCCTCACCCATTTACTCGTCTATTCTCAACCATGTACTGTACTTTATTTATCTAAGCTTTATTTAAAGCTACCTAATTTTTAAAGCATCCTTAATTGCTCTATGTATACTGAAACTCTTAAAGCTTATTATTATTATTATAATCATAAATAAGCACTAAACCCACAACCTTAAAGCTTATATATAATGAGCATGATATTACTAAATGTAAAAGATTAATTTGATAATATTCTTCTTTTTAGTCACCCGGCCTCAGTTAGGGATAGCCGGTATGTTGAATAAAAGAGCATCTTGCACTCACAAACTGTAGTGATGAGAAGACTCAAGTCTTGCTGCAAGTAAATGTCTCCAAGCATCTGAAGCAGCTGCTGAACACACAAAGTTTGCAAGTCTCACTAGAACCTGCAAAGAGGTAACAAATCTGCAGTACTGTACCTACATTTATAAGAAAAGTAACATTTTCACCTTAGTTTATTATTGTATGAAACATTAGTTAAACCTCGCTGTTCTTGAAAGTCAAGCACCACTATTTTGGAAAGTAAAAACACCAATAGTGTTCCTCCATTCTCAAGTTCATAATTATATGAACTTCTAGTATTATGGACAGAGATTTATACCTCAGAATAAGTTGAATAACTTATGATTTTATCACAGAAGAGGCTTTTGATGGCTGAAGGAAATTATGGGGGGGGAGGAGCTGAAGGAAACTATGGGGGCTAAAGCCCTCCCCTTTGGGTGCCACCACTGGATATGATGATTCATTGCATTCTTACCCTCTCACAACATTCTCCACTCTTTTCCTCCCTCTCACGCTTTATTCTATTCCTTACAGTATCACAGTCACCGAAATGCAAAACATATAAATATGATTATGTATAGACATATCATCATGATAAGCTAGAATTCACTGTAAATATGGGATAAATGTCCGAGTCTTAACACTTTGAGTGCTGCTCTGTAATCAAAATACAGTTAGACAACACAGCAAGTGCTGCATGTGCATCACTGTCATTTCATCCTATTGATTCAGAACAAACTAAATGAAATATTTCTGTTGGAATAAGCAGCTATCCAGAATAAACATTTATAGGATACTGTAGTGGTATTTAACTGAATACAGTGGACCCCCGCCTTACGAAAGCATCGCGTTATGTTAAATCCGCCATACGAAGCATTTGAACGCAAAAATTTTGCCTCGCCTCATGATAAAAAACTCGCCTTATGTGATTCATCCAGGACGCATCCCACGTGTGGCCTCAGCGCCAGTGTTTACAAGCCAGCCAGTGCGGTCGCATCTACGCATACATTCGGCACATTTCACATTATCCCTGTGTTTTTAGTGCTTGTAACTGCAAAATAAGTTACCATGGACCCCAAGAAAGCTTCTAGTGCCATCCCTGTGGTAAAAAGGGCGAGAATTAGTGTGGAATTGAAAAAAGAGATTAAGGAAATGTGTGCAAAGTGGGTTGAACTGCAAACCTTTACAGATGAAAATCACCCTGACACAGCTACTGCAAGCTGTGTTGGCAACCTGTACAATGACAATGTTATGGCCCATTTAGGAAAGTCTTAAAGGAGTGGGAGGTACAGAGCTCTGTGGACAGATTTGTTGTGTGACAGAGGTTCAGTGACTCTCAAGCTGGTCCTAGTGGCATTAAAAGAAGAAGGGAAGTAACCCCAGAAAAGGACTTGCTACCTCAAGTCCTAATGGAAGGGGATTCCCCTTCTAAACAATAACTTCTACACTCTCCCCTCCTCCCATCCCATCAATCATCACCAGGTAAGTGTCATGTATTCTATTCTTAGTAAGATAAGATAAGATAAGATTTCGTTCGGATTTTTAACCCCGGAGGGTTAGCCACCCAGGATAACCCAAGAAAGTCAGTGCGTCATCGAGGACTGTCTAACTTATTTCCATTGGGGTCCTTAATCTTGTCCCCCAGGATGCGACCCACACCAGTCGACTAACACCCAGGTACCTATTTGCTGCTAGGTGAACAGACAAAGTGTAAGGAAACGTGTTCGGAATTTCCACCCGCCGAATCGAACCGGGCCCTCCTTGTGGAAGCGGGAGTTTTTAGGCCACCAACCACCGGCCAGTAATGCATGCTCTCAGTGTGGTATTAAAGATTATATCATGGGTAAACAATTTTTTTGTTCGTTTCATACAGGAAGGATTATTTTTTCATTTTCATCAAATGATTAATTTGATTTCCATAATTTCTTAGGGGAATTAATTTCGCTAACGCAATTCGGCTTACATAGCTCTCATGAACGGATAATATATAAGCGGGGTCCACTGTACTATATTTCTATTCAAAATAATTCATATTTGACTGTTATTCTAAATTTAGGAGCATACATATATACAGCTTAATGGAACATCAATTAAAATACAATATTGTATAAGAGAGCAAATGAGGATGTCATTGTTCACTTCTTGTATACTGTACAGTATATATTTTTAAAAAATTACCTGAGAATCATCTAGTGGAAGCTGGCCTGCATGTGTGCATAAAATTTTATCTGCTTCACTCTGAAAATATATAACTTCTTTATAATTCAGTGCTGTAATACACTATATTGTACCAATTAACAGCCTGAGCTGCATTTGAAAAATAGGGCAAATACTGTAATAGTCTTTGTTGTGTGACATACTCGTGTTGCCAAGGAAGTTCACACAACACACTGATAAATGTGTGGAAATGATCAGTCTGTACACTCACATCCTGTCTCAGACGTTAGAGTTTCAACTAAACAGAAGATGAAGTCAACTGTTTGGATAAGTCTGGTAATACAATAACTGTATGTTCCGAGGAATGCCCCTTGTATGCAAAGCATATTGGGCATACTAGAATTAATTAAAAAAAAAAAAATTTGACATTAGTATTAATAGGCATCACATAAAATATTCTGTAGTTTACAGTTCACCAGGGGTTTCAGTGGCTTACACTGGGAGTTAAATAATAATTAGGCTAACAATGCAAGATATCATTTTCATAGAAGTTACTTAGATTTTATTATTAAATAGTATTTGTAGTCATCAAATGAATTATTATATTAAGTTTGTTTGATGATATCTGACAATATTGTGAATTTATTTAGAGATAAAGAGTGTTTAAACTTTTAAGGTAGGTTATTCCAAACTATTGGTGTCTGTAAATTAAGTGTGTTTACACAGGTAAATTCATACATGTGGAATATCTGGTGTTATGGCTGAGTGCTCTATTGTAACCACCAAGAATGAAAGAACATAAATAACCCACACATAGGAAAGAGAAGCTTATGACGATGTTTCGGTCTGGCTTGGACGATTGACAAGTAACGGTTTTCTGCCCTTTTGTGCTTTAAGAATGAAAGTGTTAGCTATTACAAGTAACAAAAATCCTTTAGTCTTCTTCCTTACCTTGAAGATGTTGACTAGAAAAGTGACTGTAGAGACTGGCAATGATTCACATCTTGAATGTATTGGGTCTATCAGTAAAGCCACCAGCACATCCAGGCACAGTAGCCGATGTTTTGCTGAGAGAATTGGCCAAGAGACTTTCACTGTATCCTTGCTGGACAGAAGTAGCTCCAGACAGAATAGAACAAAGCAGGAGTACTGACTCTCATTTACATACAGAGACAGTAGCTTGTCTATGATGACATCAACTTCTCTGCTTCTGTTTCAAGTACATACAGTTGTAATTATTATTTTCATAAAAAAAAAAAAGAACACTAAATCCATGTGGCAGAACTTTGAAAGGTGGGTACTGGATATATAAGACAAATCAAATAGTATTGATAGGAATGTAGCTTCAAGCTCTTGTGGCCTTACATAAAATGCAGCAGAAACAAAAATGAAAATATATATTTTTTAAGCTGATTCCAAAAAGCTATGCAGAAAGAATCAATATGATGATTTTAAGATTACATACCAGTTAAAAAGAATGAAGACACTAATGAGACTGAATAACAAGCAGCAGAGATAATAAACGATGAGGAAAAGATGAATTTGAAAGTACTGTATGTGTACAGGTTGTCAGCAAAGGGAATTCTGCATGTTTAGATTTTTTTTTTAATACATGTCAGTTAATTTTTTTTTTACTAATGTAGGGTAACCCAAAGAAAGAAATTTATTCATTGCTCAGTCTTTAGCTATCTTTCCAAAAGTGCACAGATATCATTATTCAAACTGCTCCAAATTGTTTCACTGTAACACATTCTTGAAAACATGTGCACTTCTTCCCAGCTCTAGACCTCAAGTCCAGCTAACAGGTTTCCCTGAATTTCTTAATTGATGTTACTTTGTTCATATTTCATATACGTATAGACAGTAATAATTATTGAGATCAAATAAGAGTGAGAATTTGAAGAACAAAATGAAAAGGATGATGAAAAGTAAAAAAAGAAGAGTAATGATGTGAAGACACTCATATAAAAGCTATTTGTGTACTGAGCAAAATAACAGTCATACTTGCACAGCTCTTCTCTCAGGCTTAGCTCTAGAAGACAGTTATGAAGTATCATAGAAGCCATCTGGGACACCTGCCAATCAGGATATCCAAGCAGATCCCTTGAAAGATTAAATTATCTTTGCTTAACAATTAGTTAATGAGACAAATAGCAGTATATAGCAACAGCCTAAAACCAAATTGATTCATCATATGATTGATACTATGGAGCTTGCTGATACAGCTAAGTATTTTTACTCTAGAACATATGTGACAGAAAATCCACTATTAACTAAGACAATAAAAAAGTCTCACTGCACCGCGTGGTTTTTCTACCATTGTTAAAGGTGGCCTTTCTATTAATAAATTTTTTATTATTACTATGAAATACAGGTGCTCCTCGACTTATGATGGTTCTGCTTATGATATTTTGACTTTACAATGGTGCAAAAGCAACTACAGTGGTCCCTCGATAATTGTCGGGCTCGATAGTCGTCCTTTTCAGAAATCGTCGCGTTATTTTTGTCCAAACATTGGCTTGCAAATGGTCGGTTGACTCGCTAATCGTCGTTCGTCCTGGACGCGTACTCACGGCTCTGAGCCGCCTCGGCCTCCCTTCCCAGCCAGTGTGCCATTGTTTACCAGTGAGCGACTGTTCCCTAACTTGTTCATACAAAATATTCCATAATATTCCATTCATTTTAGTGCTTGCAAGTGCTAAATAAGCTACCATGGCTCCAAAGAAAGCTCCTAGTGCCAAGCCTTTGGTAAAGAAGGTGAGAAATACGACTGAATTTAAGAAAAACATCATTGAACAATATGAAAGTGGCATATGTGTGGCCGAACTGGCCAGGATGTATAACAAACCCCATACAACCATGTTTTCCATTGTGGCAAAGAAAAAGGAAATCAAGGAAGCTGTTGTTGCTTGGAGAAAATTGTGGCCAGATTGTGTCCACAAGAGGGATTTTGAAGGGTTTGTGGCTGACCCTGATGAGCCTATGTCAGTTGTGAAATCTACTGTGGCATTGGGGAGTTCCATGGGGTTGGATGTGAGTTTGGAGGATGTGGAAGAGTTGGTGGAGGACCACAACGAAGAGCTAACCACTGAGGAGCTGCAAGAGCTTCAGCAGGAACAGCAACAGATTGCAGCTCAGAATCTTGCTGCAGAAGAGGAGGAAGAGAGATGGAAGAAGGTGCCTTCTTCAGAAATTAAGGAGATTTTTGAAATGTGTGGTGGGATAGAAAGATTTATGGAGAAACATCATCCTGAGAAGGATGTTGCAAGCCACATCGGCAACTTGTACAGTGACAGTCTTGGCCCATTTTAGGGAAGTTTTAAAGAGATGCCAGAAACAGAGCTCTCTAGACACTTTTTTTGTAAGACAGGACTCCAGTGACTCTCAAGCTGGTCCTAGTGGCATTAAGAAACAGAGAAAAGAAGTATGTAACCCCAGAAAAGGACTTGGTACCTGAGGTGTTGATGGAAGGGGATTCCCCTTCCAAACAGTAACTAATCCAATCTCTCTCCTCCTTCAGTCTTCCATACACTAAGAAGAGCCATACACTAAGAAGAATCGCCAATAAAGGTAAGTGTTATGCTATTAATGTTTCATTCATCATGTCCAATTGTATTGCTTAAGTACTACATCTATATTTTATGTAAAAAAAAATTTTTGTTTTAATACTTCTGGGTGTCAGGAATGGATTAATTGTATTTACATTATTTCTTATGGGGAAAATTGATTAGAAAATCGTCTATTTCGATAATCGTCGCACTTCCAGGAATGGATTAATGATGATAAACAAGGGACCACTGTACTTTGGAGATAAAACTTGAGTTTATTACCCAGCTTGAAGACAGCAAGTCCATAACTTATATTCATTTATTTACTTTTAAATTCTGGTATCTAGTTACAGTAAATATTTGTTTATATACTTATTCAGTGATGGTAGTTATTGAGCATATACATATTTGTATTCGACTTACGATATTTTCGACTTACTATAGGTTTAACAGAACGTAACCCCATCATAAGTCAAGAAGCACCTCTAATGTTGTTTTCTATTTTTAAAATTGCAAGTTTTGTCAGAAAATGTTTTAAGGTCATACCGTAATAGTGGTAGCACACGTGGCCAAACTATTTTTCTGGTTGTGGAATTGGCAGCAACAATATTTCCCAAACAAGTAACACAAGCTGAGGCTAAAGTGGAATGTGCTTTCTTCCATTCACTGTATGAGTCTCTGCTATTCTCTATATCTTGTTCTGTTGCTTTTGCTGCCTCTGTTCTGTGATTCATGCTGCCATCTGTTATATTTCCATTATCTGGAGACTGCTCACCTTCTGTCTCTTCTCTAAATGTCCATTGAGTACAGGACATTATGGGATCCAGAAGATCAGTTGATTCAGCCACCTAAATAGAAATTATAAATAGTTAACAGTATCTGTCTCAACTACTTTGAATACCATAACTGAATAATACAATCTGAATTTATTCTTAAAATTTACTAATGGTATTTACAAACTATAAATACTGTTCCCCGAATTCAAAATAAGACTCGATGAGGTACACAAACACCTAATATTATAAATTTACCAAGAGTTGAGTCCTAGAACAGTGTGGGAATGTGTTTCTCAAGCAGCAGAGTGAAGAAGACACTGTAGCGAGGCTCTCAGTGGAGGGCTTAATCTGTGATTCTTGGTTCCATTTAGCCACCTCTCCTTTGATTATTCCACATATGTTCCACAATACAGATGCATCCAGCTTAAATCTGTTGACAGCCATGAAATATTTTTTAATCAAATTGTTTTAAGCTATTTATGAAAGGAAAATCATGACTTGCTACTTACGAATCAATAGAAATAGAACCATGAAATACATTTTTAAATGTAATCTTAAAACTGAGAATATTTGATGAACATATTTTGTCATTTTTAGAAACATACTCTAGAAAATTAATTATGCAGTAACTACAACCCAAATTTTCCAGTACAGTATTTAATCAACATTAATTTTAATATTAAAATTTTAGTACAGTGTATAGCTTTTTCCAGGATAGAGGAGAACCATACTCTTTCTTCAGCACATACTGGGTTATTAAAATATTACATTACAGTATACTATATTTAAATAATATTGCACAAGTATATACTGTATAGCCTTACAGAAATAAAACTCTTCTGCATGAAGCTTTCAGCTCTACATAACAGTACTCTACAGTTAATTATTAGTACCTGTCAACACTCATCATTTGCTTCTGCAATACTTTTAGCTTTGTGGTACACTGAGCCAAGTTCCCATTTCCATGTAAAAGGACAGCGTCTTCCAATACACCCAAAACATCTTCACAGACTTCAGTCATGGTTCTGTCACCTTTGTAGTACAAAACAAGCAGAATAGAATTATTACAGTTCTGATTAAGTCAAATTATTTGGCAATATTGACTTACATTCCTGCATCAAATGTGAAACTTTAAAACAGTTGAAAGAAAACAAAAAGTATAAAAGATTCCCATCTAAAAAGATTTAATTTTATTTAAATAGATTAGGTTAGGTTATGCATTAGACAAGGTTTGGTTAGGTTTAATGTTAAATTAGTTAAATTAGAGTTCTCTTGGATAAATTAATACTAATCTCACCGGTTATTTGCAGTACCAGGACTCTATTTTTATTATTATTGATTTTGGTATGTTATTGATTGGTTTATATTCTGTTTGCCCAGCTTCAGTAGTTAATTAAGGTTAGGGTAGGTCAAGCTTGGGAAGAGAAGTTTGGAGTTACTCACAATCAGAAGATATTATCACATCAAACAAGTCAAAGAAAATTCACAATTATCCATCCTGGCAGAAATTTAAAAGTTTTTAACGCACCTTCAGTATGTAACCCAGCAATCGCCGCTTCCGAGATTTGGCTGATACAGTACAATACTTCCACATAAATTTATTAAACACATCCAGCAGATATTTAAGAAAGTTTCTAAAACAGGTGGCATTCTTTTGCAGGATATGTTATGTAACACAACCAGCATTATTTACTCCATACTGCTCTGCTGTGTAGATCACTGGGGATCTACACAGCAAATCATCTAAAATGAATCATAATCCAATAAAAAGTGGCTATTTATTTTTTTAAAATCTCTTCAGGCTCGAACCAATGACACCCTAAGTGAGACATGAATTCCTTTCCCTGGCTATCTTACTGGCCAGGTTAAAAAATATTTCCATTTAATTAATCATTCATATTTTGTATCATTTTACTAGGATATTCACTTGAGAAGTGATTCCCATATGCCTGTGATCACAGGCAAGGGTATAGCCATTCAACTAGGTTGAACAGTTGTACATAAAATATGCTTCCAGACTACTCCCCACTTCTGCTATTCTAAAGATATAAATCTACTTAACCTGAGAAGGTATGAGTATGAGCATGAGGGGTGGGGGGGGGGGTTGAAGAGGGTTGGAATAGTTTTAAAAATGCAGTATTAGAATGTGGGGTAGAAGTTTGTGGTTATAGGAGGGTGGGTGCAGGAGGAAAGAGGAGTGATTGGTGGAATGATGAAGTAAAGGGTGGATAAAAGAGAAAAAGTTAGCTTAGAAGGTTTTACAAAGCAGAAATGTTAAAGAAGAGCAAGTATATGGAAGCAAAAGAAAGGTGAAGAGAGTGGTGAGGGAGTGCAAAAGGAGAGCAGATGATAGAGTGGGAAAGGCACTGTCAAGAAATTTTAATGAAAATAAGAAAAAATTTTTGGAGTGAGTTAAACAAGTTAAGAAAGCCTAGGGAACGAATGGATTTGTCAGTTAAAAACAGAGTAGGGGAGTTAGTTGATGGGGAGATGGAGGTATTGGGTAGATGGCAAGAATATTTTGAGGAACTTTTAAATGTCGACAAAGAAAGGGAGGCGGTAATTTCATGCACTGGCCAGGGAGGTATACCATCTTTTAGGAGTGAAGAAGAGCAGGATGTGAGTGTGGGGGAGGTGCGTGAGGCATTACGCAGAATGAAAGGGGGTAAAGCAGCTGGAACTGACAAGTTGGACAAATATATGGTCGAGTAAATATATGGTCGAGTAGAGGACAGATTTGAGAAAGACCTCCCCATCATGGTTCACTAAGCCTACTGCAGTATTCCTCCATACTTCTACTATTTAGGATAACAGTGAAAAAAGTTTCCCGATACGAAGCTCACCTACATTGTAGAAGCCATTGTTCTGGTTGAAAATGTTGTTTTAATAATGGCATCATTATGTACAATATGTTAGGTAGGGCATATATGCAATGTACTTCAAAAACATGTCACATTAGTTGCACACACGTGTCCTTTTGTCTAACTGGTTGAAACTGTTGGATATGCTAATGAGTGACGACTCCAAGATCCTGCATCTCAAGGTGACTTTTTCCTTGGTAATGAATCATGCGACTTTTTAATTAACTAAATGGCTGTCAGAATTTTGGTGTAAAACACAGATGCTCTTCCTGTAGTCCATTATTATTATTACAATAAAAATACAATAAGCCCACAGGGGTCATACAACACTGTCATGTAGTCCATTCTTGTGGCATATTGGTGTATTGTGTGTTTGACAACATTTTGCTAACACATTATACTGAATTTCTCTTTTTCCATTACAGTATTATCTTTTGCGATTATCTCCCAAAAGATTCATTTGCTCAAGAAATAACTATTTTTTCCGAGGTAATTGAGCGAGTTTATTTAGATACAGGTCCACATAAATACAATTATCGGTATAGGTTCTGTAGACTGGTTTAAGTCCTACCTTAGCAACAGGAGACAAATAGTCAAAATCAACAAAACAGAATCAGAACCCCTGCCGATAACATGTGGAGTTCCCCAAGGTAGTTAGTATTCTGGGTCCCTTATTATTCTTATGTTATGTCAATGATATGCCTATCAGTGTCAAGTGCAAACTCCTACTGTATGCAGATGACAGTGCTCTGTTAGTGTCAGGTAAAGACCCACAAGATATTGCTAATGTTTTAACACTGGAACTGGAGTCCTGCAGCAAATGGTTAGTAGACAACAAACTATCATTACACCTAGGGAAAACTGAAGCCATTCCTTGGCACGAAACATAAACTGAGAAGGGTAAATAATTTTAATGTTCAATGTAATGGGGAGCCCATCACTTTGGTTTTATCAGTAAAATATTTTGGAATCCCCTTTGACCCATGCATGTCAGAGAATTGATAGGGAACATGTAGTAAAGAAAGCGAATCCAACTGAAGTTCCTGTATAGACAAGCACAGTGTCTACCTACTGAGGCTCGCAGGACCTTATGTCTAGCCCTTATACAATGCCATATGGATTACGCTTGCTCTACTTGGTACTCTGCCCTTTACAAAAAACTGAAAGATAGACTGCAAATCACCCAGAACAAAATCGTAAGATTCATCCGGGGCTGGGACCAAGAGAACATGTAGGGCCCGGAAGAATTACAGCAGTTGGATATGCAGAATGTTGAAGACAGAGTAAAACAACTGAAACTAAATCATGTTTAAAAATTGCTCACAAAGTGTCCAAAAATCTTGATGCAAATTTTTTCAAGTTGGGAACCAAACAATCATAGTACGTACTAGGGGAGAGAGCATAACTTTGTAGTACCCACATCAGTGGCCAGGCTTCAAACAACCTTTTATTGTACAGCAATAAAGGAATGGAACAGACTGCCCGCACATGTCAAAGCCAGTCATACATAACCAGTTCAAGAAGAGTGCCAAAAGGCTGATGAATGTAGCTACAGAAAGGGAGGGGAATGATTTTCTATTTTTTATCTAACATACGTGTAAAAATTTTTCCGTAATTTCCCAGTAATGGACCCTCGTATTTTAGATATTCTTAATGACCTTGGTGTAGTAGATAGTCCTTTAGTATGATAATAAGAGTTTATCTTCATTGTAGAATAAAAAAGAAATATTAAACCTTTATATTATAATAATAAGGTAAAAGGACCCCAATGGAAATAAGTCACTCTGTCTGACTTTTTTGGGTTATCCCAGGTTCTCTACACACATGCTGCTATGTATGATAATTCTATGTAACTGTATTTGTGTATACCTGAATAAACTTACTTACTTACTAGGATATACCCCCCCCCCCCCCCCACCAAAAAAAAATTGACGAAGTGACTTATTTCCATTGGGGTCCTTGGTACATATAGTGTACTTGTACTAAAAAAAATACCCCCTGAGTTCTGATAAGGACCAACATTCAGTATTAGCCGAAAAATGTAACACTTTGTACTACTGAAAATAAAATTTGTATTTGTACAAATTTTAATAATAGACAATGATGAAGAACCGCTGACAGATGTGATCAAGACTTTATTATTGTGAAAAAAAAAGACCACAGCAAAGTGAGTCGTAATTTGATTAATCACTCAGGGACCAGGTGTTATCATTATATTATCTTTCAAGCCTTGACCAATAAGCAAAAATAGAAAAAAAAAACAGTCCTAGAAAGCACTGTCCTTTACTCATCCAAAAAGTCATGCTAGAAAGACACCTACACCAGTACTAGAAACGAGCAGTGGACCGGCGTCCTGACACAGCAGTAAAATTTTGAGACTTCGTTCACATCTCAAAATTGTTGTTGTCGTATTTATAAATAAATAAATGCATACAGAAGCTCATTTTCCCTTGAAATTTGTAATATGTAATTAATTATGTGCTTTTTTCGGTATAACAGTTTTAAAATATGCACTTATATTTGTTACTCAAAATACTTTGCATAATTAGTGGTATTCTATTGAGCATATTTTTGTCTTAATTCTTGGATTCTTACTGCATTACTTGTATTATTATTATTATTATTATTATTATTATTATTATTATTATTATTATTATTATTATTATTATTATTATTTATTAGAGACGTAACCAAAACTATTATCCAAAGGGCTAAGGAGGGGGTTGTTGAGGTGGTTCGGACATGTAGAGAGAATGGAACAAAACAGAATGACTTCGAAGTGTATAAATCTGTAGTGGAGGGAAGTGGGGTAGGGTCGGCCTAGGAAGGGGTGGAGGGAGTGGGTAAAAGAGGTTTTGTGTGCGAGGGCTTGGACTTTCCCGCAAGCGTGCATGAGCGTATTTGATAGATGAATGGAGACAAATGGTTTTTAATACTTGACGTGCGTGGAGTGTAAGCAAAATGACATTTATGAAGGGATTCAGGGAAACCGCACCGGACTTGAGCCTGGAGAGGGGAAGTACATCTGCACTCTAAAGCGGTGTTAATTTCAGTTTTAAAACTGTATGTAAAGCACCCTCTGAAAGACAGTGAGGGAAATAATGATAAAAAGATTTTTTTTTTTGGGGCCACCCCCCCCCCTCCCTTTGGGTGGAATTTCCGCCGGGGTTTACCGGGAGTTACCGGGAGGTTTTTCCCGGGGATCAACCCCCCCGGGGCCCGGCCACCCCAGGCCTTTTCCCAGGATCGGGGCCGATCAACGGGCGTTCTGCGGGCCGCACGCAGTCCGACAAACAGCCACACCCCGGGGGGGGGCTGATCCGGCACCGCTTTGGAAAACCCAGTTTCCCCTTTTGAAGGCACCGGGGGGTTTAGGCAATTCCCCTAATCTTGTGGGGCGTTGAACATTTTGGCCCCGGCACTTGGGTTTTTCTTAGTGTACCAATGGCGCCCCTTTTTTTTATTGGCCATTTTTGGGCATCGCCTGCCCAGTTTTTTTTACTTTCGTAGGAGGTTTTCTGGTGCAATTTGGGACCTTTCCCTTCCAAAATTTTCCAAGTGTAGATTAGAAAATCTCCCCTCCCTTCCAACGAACAATCAAGTGTTTCCCAAACTTTTTCCCATATTAAAGGGTGCTTGCAGAACTTATACTGCATAAAGGATCCGTACCCCTAAAATGCAAATTTCCCCAGCTTTTTTGGAATTTAATGTACAGCATATTCCAGCCTAAAAAAAATGATTTGAAAAGGATCATCAGGGGCTTGGCATCCTCGTTTTGAAATTCTCTTTATCCACCCCTATCATTTTCCTTTTGCACGTGCATCGGGCACTGTTTATCCTTAAAAGGGAATCCCAACATTAACTCCCAGCCCCTTTACATTTTTTCCGCTCTATTGTAGGGGCCGGGATCATAATACTCTGTTTCTAGTTATTTTTCCCCCCCCCCTTTTTCCTAACGGGTATTGGAATTTGCCTCATTAAACACATATTGTTTCCGTTGCCCCCTGAAAACTTTGTTTATATTTTCTTGGGGGTTAACCGGTCCTCAGCAGATGCACCTCATGCAACCTAAACCCGCAAAGGATGATACGGGCTGTGGTGTAACTCTGTTTATTCTTTTGGGAAAGGAATAAATGGGGCGATACTGGCCTTTTGAAAAGAGCTCTTCACTATGGCGCCTCCGATTTTTAAACCGTTGACCACTACTCTTTGTGTTTTGTTTGTAGGAAGTTGAAGATCCCTCTCCCCTTTTCCCAGTTATTCCTTTTGCACGTATTTTAGGGCTATTACGCCCTGACGCATTTTTTTCAAATGCTTTTGCAAAGTCGTGTATATTACATCTGCATTCGATTTCTTCCATGCTTTCCCAAGGGGCCTGCAAGGATCCAGTATTTTGAGAGGCAGGGAACGACCCCCTAACCCATGTTGCCCTGGATTTTTGGGAATTTTGGGGAACCAGGTATTTGCAATCCTGCTTCTAGCATCTTTCAAAGATTTTTAGATGTGGATTCAGAGCTATTGATCTATAGTTCTTAGCTAATGCTTGCTGCCACCTTTTGATGGGGGTTTTATCCGTGTTTTTTTAAATGCGTGGAAATTTCACCCCTTCCCCCAAACTCCTCCTCCAATGTACTTAGGCACGCGAGAGGGGGTTTTTTCTTTTTTAAAAAAAAAAGTTCCACGATCTGGGCCCGGGGGTGGGCATAGATGTTGTCAATGCTTTTTTTAAAACTTTGGATTAGGGGGAATGCGGGAAAACGCATCTTTAAGGATTTTTTAGGCTCATTCAGAAGAAATTATTTGGTCGCGATCCTCAACCAATTAGTGGTTCATAAACACACAGTCGTACTGGATTTTAATATTTTTAAACCCTTTCCTTGTTGTCGCGTGTAATCCCATCCTGTCTAGGGTTAATAAAAAAAAATAATAAAAATAATTATTATTATTATTATTTATTAGAGACGTAACCAGGGGAGGGCAAGGGTAGAGGTATAACACTGATTGGTACCTGAGGTATAACACTGGTTGGTACCTGAGGTATAACACTGGTTGGTACCTGAGGTATAACACTGATTGGTACCTGAGGTATAACTGGTTGGTACCTGAGGTATAACACTGGTTGGTACCTGAGGTATAACACTGGTTGGTACCTGAGGTATAACACTGGTTGGTATCTGAGGTATAACACTGGTTAGTACCTGTAGTATACCACTGGTTAGTATCTGAGGTATAACACTGGTTGGTACCTGAAGTATACCACTGGTTAGTATCTGAGGTATAACACTGGTTGGTACCTGAAGTATACCACTGGTTAGTATCTGAGGTATAACACTGGAGTTTACTGGCTGGTATCTGAGATATAACTCCGGCAGGCTATGGTATGAAGAGCAAAAATTATGTTGACAGGGTATGGTATTATGTAGACACTATTTGAACCATGTTTCACCCTCAGGTGGTCAAAACGTGTCTTCTCTTCTGCCCTGCATTGCTGGTCTAGCTGTGATCAGGTTCAATTAAGGTGACTTATCTCCGTAAATCCCCGAGCCCACAGCCTTAGGGTGATTTTACTCGTAAATCTCACCACTGAGTCTATAAGCTCTTTCGACTTATCTTTTTAATAACATTTCTGGTGTTATCGGCTTCATGTGAGTCAGCTGTCTTAGTCACATGTTTATGGCGTTGTTCGGGTCACAAGCGAAGGACCCAGGCTCAATCCCGAGCGTGACGAGACAAATAAGCAAGTCTCCCTACACCTGCTGGTCATGACCACCTAGCGGTGAATAGGTACGTGTGCATATATACCGGGGTATGTACCTCTTTCGGCGGGTATACCCTCAGAGGAATCCCTCTGTATATTCTTGGAGATATGAATATGTCTGTTGGTGTATGTATCCTAAGACTTATGCCTCTCGGTGTATGTACCGAGACGTATACCTTTCTTTGTATATACCTCAAGACATACACCTCGAGGTAGGCACTCTGAGACATATGGCTTTGGGAGTATATACCTGGAGACATATACCTCTAGGTATATATTCCTTAAGACATACCTTTGGGTATATATGCTCTGAAGCATATACATTTGGGTATATATGCCCTGAAGCATATACATTTGGGTATATATGCCCTGAAGCATATACATTTGGGTATATATGCCCTGAAGCATATACATTTGGGTATATATGCCCTGAAGCATATACATTTGGGTATATATGCCCTGAAGCATATACATTTGGGTATATATGCCCTGAAGCATATACATTTGGGTATATATGCCCTGAAGCATATACATTTGGGTATATATGCCTTGAAACATAATATCCTCTGTCGTATAGACTCTGAAGCTTACATCTCTCTGTGTATACCCTGCGAAATTCTTCGGTGTATGTACCCTAAGATATATATCTCCCTTGACCTTTGTTCCTTGGAACGAAAGCGAAAAATGGATATTATAATTTGCACCTGGAAAATCATGGAGGTACTGGTCCCAAATCTGCACACACAAATCGCTCCCCACGAAAGCAGGAGGCTGTGCAACAGCCTCCAGCATACATAAGGGGGATTACATACAGATGCCTAGTTATCTTCAAGTGGGAGCTGGACAGATACCTAAAGGCGGTATCTGATCAACCGGGCCGTGGTTTGTACGGTGGATTGCGGGTCGCCGGCAGTAATAGCGTTGCTAATCAAGTTCTGATCCACCACGAGGTCTGGTCATGGACCCGGCCGCGGGAGTGTTGACCCCCGAAACACCTCCCAGGTAGGTAAGCTCAGCAGACAGTGGAAAACACCCCATTGAAAGGTATGGAGGAAGGTGCACTGAATACACCAAGAGACAACACTATAAGGGGCCCAAGACTTCAACAGCCTCTCATTGTCTGTTTTCAAGAGGGGACTTGATGAATTCCTCAAGTCACTTCGTACGTGGACTGCGTTCGGCCAGCAGTAACAGTCTGGTTGATCAGGCCTTGATCCACCAGAAGGCCTGGTCCAGGTTTGGGCCGCAGGTGCGTTGACTCCTGAAAACATTCTTTAGGTAGGCTCTTCTCGATGCGTATAAGTAAGTTTATTCAGGTATACACAAATACTGTTACATAGAATTATCATACATAGCAGCATATGTGTAGAGAACCTAGGATAACCCAAAAAAGTCAGAGTGACATATATATATATATATATATATATATATTATATATATATATATATATATATATATATATATATATTGAGAAACTTTTAATGTTAAGGAAGAAAGAGAGGCAGTAATTTTATGCACTGGTCAGGGAGGTATACATCTTTTAGGAGTGAAGAAGAGCAGAATGCAAGTGTGGGGGAGGTACGTGAGGCATTACGTAGAATGAAAGGGGGTTAAAGCAGCTGGAACTGATGGGATATGACAGAAATGTTAAAAGCAGGGGGGGGGATATAGTGTTGGAGTGGTTGGTACTTTTGTTTAATAAATGTATGAAAGAGGGGAAGGTACCTAGGGATTATGCGGAGAGCATGTATAGTCCCTTTATATAAAGGGAAAGGGACAAAAGAGATTGTAAAAATTATAGAGGAATAAGTTTACTGAGTATACCAGGAAAAGTGTACGGTAGGTTATAATTGAAAGAATTAGAGGTAAGACAGATGTAGAATTGCGGATGAGCAAGGAGGTTTCAGAGTGGGTAGGGGATTTGTAGATCAAGTGTTTACATTGAAGCATATATGTGAACAGTATTTAGATAAAGGTAGGGAAGTTTTTTATTGCATTTATTTGGGTTTAGAAAGGCATATGATAGAGTGGATAGAGGAGCAATGTGGCAAATGTTGCAAGTGTATGGAATAGGTGGTAAGTTACTAAATGCTGTAAAGAGTTTTTATGAGGATAGTGAGGCTCAGGTTAGGGTGTGTAGAAGAGAGGGAGAATATTTCCCGGTAAAAGTAGGTCTTAGACAGGGATGTGTAATGTCACCATGGTTGTTTAATATATTTATAGATGGGGTTGTAAAGGAAGTAAATGCTAGGGTGTTCGGGAGAGGGTGGGATTAAATTTTGGGGAATCAAATTCAAAATGGAATTGACACAGTTACTTTTTGCTGATGATACTGTGCTTATGGGAGATTCTAAAGAAAAATTGCAAAGGTTAGTGGATGAGTTTGGGAATGTGTGTAAAGGTAGAAAGTTGAAAGTGAAATAGAAAAGAGTAAGGTGATGAGGGTATCAAATGATTTTAGATAAAGAAAAATTGGATATCAAATTGGGGAGGAGGAGTATGGAAGAAGTAAATGTTTTCAGATACTTGGGAGTTGACGTGTCGGAGGATGGATTTATGAAGGATGAGGTTAATCATAGAATTGATGAGGGAAAAAAAGGTGAGTGGTGCGTTGAGGTATATGTGGAGTCAAAAAACGTTATCTATGGAGGCAAAGAAGGGAATGTATGAAAGTATAGTAGTACCAACACTCTTATATGGATGTGAAGCTTGGGTGGTAAATGCAGCAGCGAGGAGACGGTTGGAGGCAGTGGAGATGTCCTGTTTAAGGGCAATGTGTGGTGTAAATATTATGCAGAAAATTCGGAGTGTGGAAATTAGGAAAAGGTGTGAGTTAATAAAAGTATTAGTCAGAGAGCAGAAGGGGGGTTGTTGAGGTGGTTTGGTCATTTAGAGAGAATGGATCAAAGTAGAATGACATGGAAAGCATATAAATCTATAGGGGAAGGAAGGCGGGGTAGGGGTCGTCCTCGAAAGGGTTGGAGAGAGGGGGTAAAGGAGGTTTTGTGGGCAAGGGGCTTGGACTTCCAGCAAGCGTGCGTGAGCGTGTTAGATAGGAGTGAATGGAGACGAATGGTATTTGGGACCTGACGATCTGTTGGAGTGTGAGCAGGGTAATATTTAGTGAAGGGATTCAGGGAAACCGGTTATTTTCATATAGTCGGACTTGAGTCCTGGAAATGGGAAGTACAATGCCTGCACTTTAAAGGAGGGGTTTGGGATATTGGCAGTTTGGAGGGATATGTTGTGTATCTTTATACGTATATGCTTCTAAACTGTTGTATTCTGAGCACCTCTGTAAAAACAGTGATACCTGGAGTTTACCTGGAGAGAGTTCCGGGGGTCAACGCCCCCGCGGCCCGGTCTGTGACCAGGCCTCCTGGTGGATCAGAGCCTGATCAACCAGGCTGTTGCTGCTGGCTGCACGCAAACCAACGTACGAGCCACAGCCCGGCTGATCAGGAACTGACTTTAGGTGCTTGTCCAGTGCCAGCTTGAAGACTGCCAGGGGTCTGTTGGTAATCCCCCTTATGTGTGCTGGGAGGCAGTTGAACAGTCTCGGGCCCCTGACACTTATTGTATGGTCTCTTAACGTGCTAGTGACACCACTGCTTTTCATTGGGGGGATGGTGCATCGTCTGCCAAGTCTTTGCTTTCGTAGTGAGTGATTTTCGTGTGCAAGTTCGGTACTAGTCCCTCTAGGATTTTCCAGGTGTATATAATCATGTGTGAGTATGGTGAAAGTGTTGAATGATGAAAGTATTTTCTTTTTGGGGATTTTCTTTCTTTTTTGGGTCACCCTGCCTTGGTGGGAGACGGCCGACTTGTTGAAAATAAAATATATATATATATATATATATATATATATATATATATATATTATATATATATATATATATATATATATATATATTATATATATATATACCCTGAAATATACACTTTTGATGTATATACACCTCGATATATAGACCATATTAAGAGGTGTGTACCTCAGCCGCTGAAGGTGCTCTCCCTCCCGTACTCTAGTTCTAATGATAATTAAAAAAAACTTGCACCTCTCTCCCACACCTGCACTGTCTCGTCACTTAGCTGTCATCTGTCTTGCCAGCAGTAGAAGCCTCCATTTCCTCACCCCTTTACCTATTAGATATTCACCTGGGATTTCATATTACGGAGACATTGAAAATAAATCCCAGTAAGTGGCTGGGTGGGTGGTATGTTACATTGTCTTTTTTCATGACTTATCGCGGCTGTACGCAAGTAATGCGGGCTGTATAAATATTACATAGAATCATAAGTATCATTCTGTAAAAATATGTGTAAATTTAGCCTGTATAAAGGTTAGTTATTGAAACGGTAAGTATGTTATGTGGTGGGTCCAAAATATCTTATGCGGCACCTGCCAAGAGTTATAATTGATTATTTCCTGGCCTCTCCTTCGAATATCACTTGTATTACTATACAGGTTATCATAGTTATTAATACAGGGTTGATATATCATGTGGTGATAGTTATAGGAGCTTCTTGGGGACATTTTAGAACGTTAATAAAAAAATTACGGCAGAAATTGTAGCAACTGCACCTTGAGGAGATGCCACAGAGTTATTCTATTTTTGCACGATGGTAATTTTTTGGCTATATACTTATATACGTGTATGTATGCAAGTGGAAATGTGATAGAAGTGTGGATAATGCATTAATGCAAGTCTCGGGTGTAGTAGAGAGGGACAATAAGTAAAGCAGATAGTTATAATTGAAGAAATATACGGCAACTAGTAAGGGTTGGGTGGTTCCTGGGGTAAAATGTTGAGGAGGAGCGACTGGCAGCTTGTTGTTGGTGGCTGGGGAGGATAGTGGTGTGTCCAGCCTGTGTGATCTGTACGGCCTACTGTGGTCTGCATGGCCTACCTAGGCTGTAACGTGTGTCAGCAGAGTGTAGGTTGATTCAAGAAGACGCCAGCAGCCATTATTACTGCCATATTACTCTCATCAGTTCCTGTACAATAAAACACAATTCAGGTAAATACATTGTCAGTTTAACCCGACAACGGAATAAGTGAAATATTTCCCTGAAGGTTTTGTGCACTAATATTAAACTAGCTTGTGTGCTTCTTGCAGCTAATTAAAAGAGCAGGAATAAAATGGAAGGTGTTGTATTTTAAACATTAAAATTGAGGTACTGCGAAGAAGTGATGGGTGTGGTGCCTCAAGTCTGACCTCAGAATTAAACAATTGGCAATTATGAATAAAATGTGACTGTGTTAATTTTATTTGTATTGAAGAAATTAAGGTATTCCACTGTCATGAATTTGTTTTAACGAGTTTTACAAAAAAAAGTGGAGATGAGCCATTACTCACGGTTCACTGAAGTGAGGCTGATGCTGGTGACCTGTCTTGGTTCTTGATGCTGGTGACCTGTCTTGTTCCTTGATGCTGGTGACCTGTCTTGTTTCTTGATGCTGGTGACCTGTCTTGTTCCTTGATGCTGGTGACCTGTCTTGTTTCTTGATGCTGGTGACCTGTCTTGTTCCTTGATGCTGGTGACCTGTCTTGTTCCTTGATGCTGGTGACCTGTCTTGTTCCTTGATGCTGGTGACCTGTCTTGTTTCTTGATGCTGGTGACCTGTCTTGTTCCTTGGTGCTGGTGACCTGTCTTGTTTCTTGGTGCTGGTGACCTGTCTTGTTTCTTGATGCTGGTGACCTGTCTTGTTCCTTGATGCTGGGGACCTGTCTTGTTTCTTGATGCTGGGGACCTGTCTTGTTTCTTGGTGCTGGTGACCTGTCTTGTTTCTTGGTGCTGGTGACCTGTCTTGTTCCTTGATGCTGGTGACCTGTCTTGTTTCTTGGTGCTGGTGACCTGTCTTGTTTCTGGTGCTGGTGACCTGTCTTGTTTCTTGGTGCTGGTGACCTGTCTTGTTTCTTGGTGCTGGTGACCTGTCTTGTTTCTTGGTGCTGGTGACCTGTCTTGTTTCTTGGTGCTGGTGACCTGTCTTGTTTCTTGGTGCTGGTGACCTGTCTTGTTTCTTGGTGCTGGTGACCTGTCTTGTTTCTTGGTGCTGGTGACCTGTCTTGTTCCTTGATGCTGGTGACCTGTCTTGTTCCTTGATGCTGGTGACCTGTCTTGTTCCTTGATACTGGTGACCTTCCTTGATGCTGGTGGTCTGCCTTGTTCCTTGATGCTGGTGACCTGTCTTGTTCCTTGATGCTGGTGACCTGTCTTGTTTCTTGGTGCTGGTGACCTGTCTTGTTTCTTGGTGCTGGTGACCTGTCTTGTTTCTTGGTGCTGGTGACCTGTCTTGTTTCTTGGTGCTGGTGACCTGTCTTGTTTCTTGTGCTGGTGACCTGTCTTGTTTCTTGGTGCTGGTGACCTGTCTTGTTCCTTGATGCTGGTGACCTGTCTTGTTCCTTGATGCTGGTGACCTGTCTTGTTCCTTGATGCTGGTGACCTGTCTTGTTCCTTGATACTGGTGACCTTCCTTGATGCTGGTGGTCTGCCTTGTTCCTTGATGCTGGTGACCTGTCTTGTTCCTTGATGCTGGTGACCTGTCTTGTTTCTTGGTGCTGGTGACCTGTCTTGTTCCTTGATGCTGGTGACCTGTCTTGTTTCTTGGTGCTGGTGACCTGTCTTGTTTCTTGGTGCTGGTGACCTGTCTTTTCTTGGTGCTGGTGACCTGTCTTGTTCCTTGATGCTGGTGGCCTGTCTTGTTCCTTGATACTGGTGACCTTCCTTGATGCTGGTGGTCTGCCTTGTTCCTTGATGCTGGTGACCTGTCTTGTTCCTTGATGCTGGTGACCTGTCTTGTTCCTTGATGCTGGTGACCTGTCTTGTTTCTTGGTGCTGGTGACCTGTCTTGTTCCTTGATGCTGGTGACCTGTCTTGTTCCTTGATGCTGGTGACCTGTCTTGTTCCTTGATGCTGGTGACCTGCCTTGTTCCTTGATGCTGGTGACCTGCCTTGTTCCTTGATGCTGGTGACCTGCCTTGTTCCTTGATGCTGATGGCCTGTCTTGTTCCTTGATGCTGATGGCCTGTCTTGTTCCTTGATGCTGATGGCCTGTCTTGTTCCTTGATGCTGATGGCCTGTCTTGTTCCTTGATGCTGGTGGCCTGTCTTGTTCCTTGATACTGGTGACCTTCCTTGATGCTGGTGGTCTGCCTTGTTCCTTGATGCGGTGACCTTGATGCTGGTGACATTGATGCGGTGACCTTCATTGATGCTGATCTGTCTTGTTCCTTAAATCGGTGACCTTCCTTGATGCTGATGACCTGTCTTGTTCCTTAAATCGGTGACCTTCCTTGAGTCTGGTGACCTGTCTTGTTCCTTGATGCTGGTGACGTGTCTTGTTCCTTGATGCTCCATGACACTGGTGACCTGTCTTGCCGTATATGATCCTTGATGCTGGTGACGGGCTCTTGAGGAAAGTAAATTATTGGGCTTGTCAATGATTCGTTGGATCAAGGATCAAACTTGATTATCTAACATTTTATGTGTGTGTGGGGGGGGAGGAGATGAGAGATAGACGAGATAGATATGCAGAACAAGCCACATGGAGATGAAAATATTTAGCTCACTCGTGCGTCGTCAGGAGCTACGAAGTGTTGCCAGACAGCAACAGGTAAGAACATAAGAAAGAAGGAACACAGCAGCAGGCCTACTGGCCCATGCGAGGTAGGTCCAAGTTTCCTACTAGCTTAAGCCAATGCCCCAACCTAATCAGGTCAGGTCACATTCACCTAAGGAAGGAGCACGGCATCTGACCTTGTAGCACAAGCTAGTCAGGTCCAACTCACACCCACTCGTGTATCACTGGTAATGGTATAAACCTTGGTAATAAATACCGACAAGTTGGTTTAGAAAGACACGTAAGCAAACACTATGACATATTTATTAGAAAACGTTTCGGTCCTGGGACCTTGAACACTTCTGAGAAGTGATCAAGGTCCGAGGACCGAAACGTTTTCTAATAAATATGTCAGTGTTTGCTTACGTGTCTTTCTAAACCATCACTGGTAATACCCATGAGAGTTAAGATCGCGTGTTTGCGATTATTGCATATATTTATATTTATGTATGTATATGTATGCATATATATGCATATATATATGTATATATATCTTGCGTAAATCACTAGTCCTGCATCTCAGGCTAGTGATTTACTCAGGATGTCGCATCAGAAAAGCAACCGCCACTAATATTAATTATAAAAATCTCTGGCACGGAATTATGATCTGAAAGAGATGCCTTTCATGTTTGAATCCTATTATTTTCTCTTCCACTGTAATTATGTATTAGGGATAATTTTATAATGTAATAAATAGTTATGGAATTATTAGCTTTCTTGGATTATGTGGTGTTCATGGTGTCTGGAAATGTTATGATAATTACACTACATCGAGTGGCTACTCTGATATGTGAAACTTCTAGAAGTTGACAAAATGTATCGTAAATGAAGACTGGTTGTGAGGGTCGTCGCCCCCGCGGCCCGGTCCCAGACGAGGCAAAATCAACTAGGCGGTTACTGTTAGCAGCAGTCGACACGCAGGATGGTTCTACAAAAAGGGACGGTATGATCCTTGTTACGATCATACAGAGAGGAAATGAAAACTGGGTGACTTCAGTAGGGTGACGAGGCTATCGTCAAGTATTCTATTAAATACACAACCCGCACACAGGAGGAAAGCTTGTGACTAAGTACCGGTCAGACTTGTGACCATTGACTAGTCACATAGTCTCCACGAGCTTCTTTTTCCTATGTGCGGGTTGTTTGTTTATTGAAAGTTAAGACACATGTGCAACATCTGGATATCTTTATTGTAGACGTTTCGCCATCCAGTGGCTTTATCAATACAGATTCTAGGACATAATAGGTAGACAGTAGAACTATATACAAAAGATGAGGTAATCAGTCCCTCGGCCTTGGAGTTAGTGTTCACAGCATCGTGGTGGAGGAGAATCTGGAGCAAAGGCAAGAAGACTTGGCGTTTATATTGGCGTCAGTGGAAGGGACGGGCAGCAGACGAGGGCAGTCACTGGTAGGCGGGATTCCCCAGTGGAAGTAGGTCCTTCCCAAAGAGATGGGTTAGTTAGTTGCACTGTTTGTTTATTGTTCCAGTCATGGTATTGTGCCTTTTTATTCCTTATTCTACTTAAATGGCTACTAGGGTTTGTTACTGGAGTCGACCCTCACGCTGTCCGGTCCTTCACCAGGACATGAGGGGGGGGGGGAGGAGACATGACTATATATAAGGCTATAAAAAGATACGAAAGAATAGGTAAGACTTAATACCTTCAGTAGGGATATCAGAGACTGCAGTTGTAAATTAAAAACAAAAGAGCTAATGCGATACTAGAAAATGTTTTTGTAATACACGAGTGGTTGACCATGGAAATGAATTCAAGTGAGGTAGTAAGAGCTACAACCCTTCGATTGCTAGTGCACTTAGCTCTCTCACTGAGGTCCGGGGATTGATCCCAGGTACGGGTGGAAACATCAGGACGTGTTTCCTTAAGACACCTGCTGTCACTGTTCACCTAGCAGTAAAATAGGTATCTGGGTGTTAGTCGACTAGTGTAGGTCGCATCCTGGGGACAAAATTGACCTAATTTGCCCGAAATGCTCTGCTGCGCCTCTTGGACTGGGTCACGGGAGCGTTGTATAGTAGTATATCATTGATGTCAGCTAGGCCTGTATGCTTTGTACATGTACCTGTAGAATCAATATTATTATAATGAAGTCGGGATACGAACATAGTTCTACTCTTTAATCTTCAAATAGACAATTACTATAAATTCAGTAATTACTGCGACTTTAAAGATGTCCTCCCATCAGTGCTGGAGTAAATTTACATTGTAATTGCCTGTGTAGTGAAACTGGTTGTTTTGGAGAACGCTACAAGTCTGCTGAGGAATTATTGAGTTTGGCATTTCCTCTAGTACGATATTGAAGGCTGGAGAAGGTCAGTCGGTGGGTGGATATGTTGAAACTCCTGGGAATCGTTAGGGAGGGAGAATAAGTTGTT